CTTAAGGTCGAATTAGGTAGCTATTACTATTATAAGCCTAAAGGCCTTTATAGCGAGCGTCGAAGCGTACGTATTTTATAAAAAGTTAAGTAGTTATATATCCCCCCTTATATATATACGTGCTTTTACCTCGCAAACCTCGTTATTAACGTCGTACTTATAAGTATATACCTACTTTAATAAAAGTAGGATCCCTTATTTAGGATCACGGTTAACTTCCTCCTATATACTAATATCCCTTAGCTTTTCTATTTCTACGTCTATAGTATCCCTAAGTAGCTTCTATAATTACTATAGGAGATATTTAATATTACTAAACTTCTTTAGTAAGCTCTAGAAGTTAACTTTAGTAAGTCGTAATTTCTAAACTCCTCTAGAGCGCTCTAAGTAGGTCCTATAAACTACTCCTTTTACTACTTAATAAAGTATTATATATCCTATACTACTTTCCTCTATAGCTTTTTACTAATTAAGTATAAAAATAAAAAAAAAGTAGTCCTAGTAGCGGTTATAGTAATTACCGTTTTTTATATTCGAATATAAGAGCGTTATAAAAATATTACTATTAAAATATTATAAAGGTCTGCGGGCCTAGTTTAAATGTCTAGGACCTAACGGAGCTTTACTTAGTACTCGATAAGGTAGTTCTTATAAGCTCTGTTTTTATATAGTAATAGAGGTTTATTATAAGGGTTCCTTACTAACGTCGACTTTAGTATTAAGAATTACTTTCTTATAATTAGTACCTCGTCTATTACGTACTCTAGCGTTTTGCTAAGAGCCGTTAAGAATTAAAGGCTCGAGAACTTTTATAGTATATATAAGCGCTCGTAGGGAGGACTATAGACTACGCAGAGCTATTTATAACCTAGTTACTATATCCCCTTCCTTATCCCTACCCCCGAGCTCGCGTAAGAGGGTTATCTTAGGGGTTAGTAGTAATAGTAAGATTATATTAGCCTCTTTAGCCTTATTAACCGTACCCTAGAGTACGTTTATTAGTTACTTAGCGTCCTAAATAGTTAAAAATCTAATAGTAATACTATTTTCGATTATAAAGTTATTTTAAGTATTAGTATTTCTAAAATCTAGATTTACCTCCCCGAGTGCTTAAATTAACTTATCGTTAGTATTAAAGAGTTCTCGTATCTCTTAGATTATTAAATTTACTTACTCGCTTACGATAGCTTACTCCTCGTATATAGAATTATAAAAAACTTTTTTATTAAACTTAATATTCTTTATAATAAATACTTACTCGAGCGCGGGTACCTAAACCCTATATAAGTTATACGTTTTTAGTACATATCTAACTAAGTATCCTATATACCCGTAGAGAAGTATTTTAAACTCTTTTTAATATATACCCCTCTTACGATCCCTATAAAGAGGGTATACTTAGTAGCTATATATATAGAGACTACCAAAGTGCGGGGTTACTAGTTCAGAATCCCGCACTTAGTAACCCGTCTACTACTAGCGTTAATACCGCTTTTACTAATTAATTTCTATTATAATAAGCGAATCTCCTTTATTAGCCTCCCGTAGGGTAATATTATAAATAAAGATTACTACTAATACTATCTCGTCCTATAGATTCGTAAGGAGGTTTATAAAAAGGCACATTTTATAAGCTTTAGTAATTACGAGTTAACCTACTCTTTTTACGTTACCTACGGGTTCTTTCGTATATAAAAGTAGAAGTTCTATTCCGATTCCTAGCTTACTATACTACGTCTTATATACGTATTTAACGTTTATAATTAAGAGGGCGGTCTTATTATTACTTTTAAAAAAGTAGATTAGAATCCCTTTTTAATAACGAATCGCTACCTCGAGGCTCTATAGTACGAAAAGCACTTCCTCTTCTATTTTAGTCCTTAAAAGGAACCCCCTAAGCTACTTACTATATTCGTTAGAAGCTATAAGTATATATTATCGTTTATTAAGAGATAGTTCGAAGTAGAAGAGATCTTAGTATATATAGTACTATAGCCGTGAGGCTTTTCTCGAGGGTAGTCCTCTTAAGACTACTATCTTAGTATCGGATAATATATATACTTTATACTTAACTTATAATAGAGGTTTAATACGCATACCTCGAGTCTTATATAGTAATTAATAAAGAGTATTAGGTCCGAGATAACCTATTTTAAGGTACTAAAGGAGCGCGCTATTAAACCTCTTACGGGTACGTTAATACGAGTAACGGAATTTTCTATAGCTAATTAGTAATATAATACTAGCTAGGCTTTATAAAATACGTTTAAGGTTTATAAAAGAAGGATAGGATTAGAGGAGCTTATATTCGAGGAAGACTAGATTATTCTTTTAGATAAGCTACTTTTTAATAATACTCTTATGAAGCGTTCCCTATTATAATATATAATCTAGACCGTAGTACTAAAGTGCGCTTCTATTTAGTAAAGTTTTTAAGATTATATTAATATAGAATCCCTTGATATAAGCGACGTTCTAGAGCTTTAGATTATAAGTTCCTTTCTCCTTAAGTCCGTTTAAAACGCCCTTTATAATACGAGTACTGCGTATAATAATAAGTAGTATAATAGTTCTTAATTTAATATAGTCGTTATTACCTAATAATATATAACTCTTAGGTTTAAATAGGCTCTTATCGTTAACTAGATATATTACTCTATAGCTATTTATTACTATGCTCTAAGAAAGGGGATAAGTACTACTTATAAGGGTACTAAAAATTACGTTTATTTCTAAGTCCTAACTCTTTATAAATATAGTAACTACGTAGCCCTCGTCCTAGTTTATTAATAAGCTCGCTATAAGTTAATTAGAGGATCCTTTTAAAAACCTAGGTTTCTTAGGGGTTCTATTATTCCTTAGCTAACTAGCTTTCTTAAGCTTACTGTAAAATAATTTCTACTTACTTAATTTAATAGTAGCGAGGACTTCCTCTATATAGCTCTTTAATATTTGTATTAATAACTTACTAGTATTTTAGCTTATAAGTACCTATTCTAATTTTTAGTATACTAAAGGCCGCTACGGGTATGCGCAATTATAAGGGCACGTAACGTTACCCTTATTATTTACGTCGTTAACTAAGTTAGAGCGTCTAGTAAAAGTAGAATAAGCCCCTCCCTAACCTAAAAGCCGTTTAGTATATACGTCCTAAGTTACTAAGCTAAATATATACGCAATCTCCTCGAGGGTTCTAATATATATTCTAAAGGCTATTAATTCGCTAAAGGTCTTATATATACGTTAGCCCTATATAGGGTTGAGTCTAGACTTAACTATAACTAAGAAGTTAAATATAGCGATCTCTTTACTAATTTCTAGAATATTGTACGTTTTAGCTTAGAAATAAGTAAATTACTACTTTTTATATTAACGTTAGGAGTTAATTCCGGTCCTCGTTTTATTAAGGGCTTATTAGTATTCCTCTCGAACTATATTCCTAACTACTACTTCGGAAAGCGTAAATTCCTATTTTAGATATCTAACGATTCGTTATATACTAAACTTAGTACTATCCTTAGTAGCTTTTTAAAATATATATTTATAAAAAGTAGCGTTAACTAATTTTACTAACTACTAAGTAAGGAGTTTAATATGCGTATTAACGGTATTACGTTCCTAAGTCTTAAATTATTCGTATTTAGCTTCGATTTTTTATTATTTTTAAATATTCTTAAGCGTATAAATCCTCTTTATAGGTACGGTATAGGGATAGATTTGTTTACGTAAAGTAGGAGGTATTGTTAGCTTTATAAAAGGAAACCTAGCTTAGTCCTATAGGTTACTTATACTTAAAGAAGTTAAAGGGGTTATGCTAGGAGTTATATTTAGAAGCTATTAGTAGAGGATTTCTTAGTTTTTTTAGTCGTTCTTAAACGCCTTATAGCGTATTTAATAAGCTCGTAGTTCTTTTTTATTATAGGTCGTAACTAATCGTCCGAATTTAAAGGGTAAAATAAGTACTATAAAAGGGTCGAGGAGTACGTCGGAATTTAGAGCGTTTAGGTCGACGTACTTTTAAACCCCGACGCCCTTACTTATAGTACGAAGTACGTTAAACTATTTAGTTTAACTATCTCGGCTAGTTAATTTAGCTTAGGCTAAAGTAGGTGCGAGTATGTCTATTATTTTAAAGAGATTATAAAAATCGTATTAATAAGTGCGTTATCGTAGTATAGGGTCTTAACTAAGAGCTAGGCTTATAATTATTACGAGTTATAGTACGTAATAATAAGTATACGGAGTATAGTAAAAGTAGCTTAATATATTAAAGTAGAAATAGATAAAAAGAAAAGGTCTATATATACGATGTCTGAGATAGATACGTAATTTAGCACGTGACGGGCACTTTGTGAGATGCGGTTACTATCCCTATTACGTGACAGAAAGTAAGTCAAGAATTTGATGTAAGCTGCAATCTACCGCAAGTGATACAAACAACCTCCAAAAATGGAAATGCAAAGCATACTCTTCAAACTCCCATCCGTGATACCTTATCGTAAATACCACAGTCCAAGCCTCATGGAAAAACTAATCCTGCTGCTGCATCGCTTGCTGTAGAGTAAGGCCAAGAGCTCTGAGATCCTCAGAAAGCTCAAGGTAACAATCGCAATGCGGGTCAAGGAACCGCATACGAACAGCTCCACCCTTCAAGGATAATCGTAATGTCTTGGCGCGGGAACTCTGTGTCCATGCTGTGCTTGTTGTTACGTAAACATCAATCCCTCGTTTTTCTGCAACGCGCAACTGCGTCTTCAAAGTCTTCAGGTCGTGACCCGATGCATCCAGACCCAGTTCGGGGAGAATTTGGGTGTCGAGTGGCATGTCGTCATCGTGAGAGTCATGGAAAGAGACTCTCGGATCGATCCCTGTGAAGTTTTGTTCGGCATGGATCCAAATTTCTCGCAAGTTGGGAAAACACAGCAGCGTTTCAGGAGTAAGAGTTTGCGGCCAAATCTGAGTGGGTAGGTAGTCAAACCAAGTCCCTTTGACCCGTCTCACTAGTTGAAAAAGCTTTTCGTGTTCAGGTTGAGGATGAAGTGTGAAAGATGCATGGAAGATGCTATTCCCGTCCGGCGCTATCTCGAAAATGTCAACATTCGGAAGCACACACCCTGGCAGCAGACGGACCCTTTCGTCCATGGATCGAGGATCATACGTGCGTGAAAAGTACGCGACGCGTACCATGTCGTTGGTAACGAAGGTTCCTTTTACCAAGCGTCTGCTGGTTCCGTCAATTCGTAGAAGGTCGCGGATTTGTTTCCATCGCTGCATCTGTATCTTGAAGCCTTTACGGCCCCACAATACAATAGAAAAACTGGACTGCGAGACACTTTGATGCTGTCCGTTCGTGAAATCAATTGTGTAGATTATCTTTTCATGTCTAGCCCTCTCGTAGGCCTCCGAAATCATTGCCTCTACGATGAGGAGGAAAATCTCGTAGGGCAGGTTGATAGGGCCCTTCCGAGCTGGGAAAACTGCATGCAACGATTGAGCAGACATGTTGCTTTTCTTTTAGGGGATGGAGTGATAGGCTTTGTTGCTTGATTGGTGTACTTATACCTGTTTCTGGAGGACTTCGCTCTTAGTGTGTTGAAATTCTGACTATGTTGAGAAGTTTGGTGATGAGAATGTTGGTGATTGGCTGATGTGGTATGAGAGAGCTCCAGATATGACATTGCATCTTGGTATTAGTCCATCTTATACATTAATAAATTTTCATTGGCCTTTTGTGCCTTTGATCAACTATTCTTGGTCTCTCTTGCATTATCATCGCTTAGACAAATCTATTGTACGCGTATCATGGGCCTAGTTCGTCGGTATTATTAGTTGTCGCGTCAGGCATTGATCAGTCCAAGTCATTGTTACACGACTATTGTCTTTAAGACAATAAGGAAATCACCATCTCTTCCTTCGAGGATCTTTGTGCTATTTATTGGGCTTGAACCTTTCTATTCTTGCCAGCATGTCCTCCTAGCATTTTCTCCAAGTAAGTAGTATAGGTACATGATTTCATTCACGTCAGAAAGCTTCCTGGCCACTGTAGCTTTTCTAGACATAGCTCTTTAGATATGCCACGAGGCTCCTGCAGACTCTTTTGAGTCTGGACACTTCTTTCTAATTGAGCTACATTGATACCAGGCGTTTACGATGTCATGGCTCTACGCATATGCAGCAAGTGATTCTATCGCCTCTTAACTATCAATGAACAGCCATGGTCCAGTTTAATGCCACAGAACTGTCGCTAACTATTACTCAACAGATGGCAGATGGCCATATACACTTAATCGCCCAAGTCAGCTAGATGACCACATGAAGAATTTGCCTGCTTAGTTGGAGTCATTGGAGCAAAGGTGGAGAATTAACATTACGAGGTCACCACAGAATAACAATAAAAGAGGCTCGTGAATACAGAAAAGACGAGGTGAGAAAAAAGAAAATGGCTGTTGTAGCTTCAATTATATATGACAGACTCGCTTGAATGTTCCAAGGAACACTAATTCTCCTAAAACCAAGCCTTGACACCAGCCTGAATGGCCTTGAGGAGGCTGAAGTCGTACGAGTCCTCACCCAAACTCCAAACAGCGACGCCACCCAGGCCACGAGCCTTCGCAATCTCATTGAACTTGCGGGTGACAAGAGCAGGAGTATCCCAGGTCCAGAAGAAAGGACCGGCGGGGTCCCAGTACCACTGGCCACCGCTGACCTCATCGGTCTTGCCGTTGGCCATGGCAGTCTTGAAGGAAGAGAGGGTGGAGGTGCCGTTGCAGATACCATAGTCGGACTGGCAGCCATTGCCGCAGTGAGCAGCGGTGGCACCGCAGAATCCGTACTGGGAGCAGCAGTTGCCAGTGGGGCACTTGTAGAAAGTTCCGGCACCGCAGGAAGCATCGGGAGAAGTAGTCAGGTTGGTGGGAGCAGCCTGGAAGTTGGCGGTCTCGAAGGTGACGGCGCCAGACATGCCCGTATCGGTGCCGTCGGCAGCCTCCATGAGCTCGGTGGGGCAGCCGAGACCCTGGGTGCAGTTATAGCCCTTGGCGGTGGTAAACCACTTGGCGTAGAGAGCAAAGCCAAGGTTGATCTTGGCGGGCTCGACGCCAAGAGCGATGTAGGTGTCGATAGCCTCAAGAGAACCCTTGATGTCGGTGTGGTGCTTGGTGATATTGTCGCGGCGGTTCATGAGATCGTAGGTCATGACGGTGAAGTGGTCGACGGCGGCGTTGATCTTGGGAGTCTGGTGCTTGGTGAACGCAATCATGTCGCGCTTCAGGCCCGGGGCGGTGACGGAAAGCTCCATCTTGTGGTGCTTCAGCTGAGTCTTGATTGCGGACAGGAGCAGAGGGAAGGTGTTGATCTCCGAAGTCTTCTGGCTATTTGGCTTCTGGATGTAGTCCGCACCATTGCCACCGGGATATTCCCAATCGACATCTAAGACCACGTTTAGTCGGCTATCATAACAGAAACACGGCGAAGGATCATGCTTCACTTACCGACACAGTCATATCCGAGCTTGACTGCCGTCTCTGCGACGTTGATGGCGTACTTGTGACGGCTCTCGTTGGTGGCGGCCCCAAGACCGAATCCGTCCGTGTCGCCCCAACCTCCGATGGCCATGCAGACCTTGGTTCCGTTGTTGAAAAGAGCGCGAACCTCATTCAGGGGCTTGAACGGCTTGTATTCGCCAGCCGGATCGGAAGCAAAAAGGGACGAGTTGGCGAATGCGGTGATTACGTGGGTAACACCCGAAGTTACGGACTTGTCCGGAATCCCTGCGGTGTGGTACCTAATTGGATCTGTTAGAAAATTGTCTTGGATTCCGGGTGATTGGAGCAACTTACTGGTCAAAGTACATGACATAACGAGGAGCTGCACCTGTTCCTTCGGTGCAGGTAGTGCCGTCGGAGGCAGCCTGAGCGGCCACGGCAGCCACAGAGGCCAAGCCAAGAGATCGGAACAGCATTATTACTATGGTCTGGTATTATTAAAAGAATGTGGTTCCTCAACGAGTGGTTGAGACGGTCAGATTCGATTGACTTGGAGAGGCGTGAAAGCGCTTGCCAAAGAATCTTCAACACATGCGTGGGGAGAGGGAGACGCACCTTCAAATAGCTCGACCCCTATCCGAGGGATACGCAACCGGTCTCGTGTTGACGAAAGTTACACACGGGTAGCGGGACCTGGTGCACATTACCGCTGCCCACAACCCGACTGTTTGGGGGAGCAAACTTCGACGTTTGGTTTGCCTGGGTTGATTGCACTCGTAACGAGTGAACAGGTAGATTAAACGGGCATTTGTTGGGTGGATCACGAGGGGTGATCATTCGCGGGCGGACGCGGTAGTGCGGCACTTCGCGGTGCCAAGTAGGGAGACAAGGCGGGATCGGTTGCGGCCACTGCGAGGCATGGTTAGCAGCGGTGGAGAGTTCAATATATCAAGAAAGTATAAAATGGACGTTTGGTAGAGTCGGAAATTGCGGTTGGACTCGGTCTGCGTTTAGATAGGCTGACTCGCTGGGATGAGCCCTTCCGAAAGACCGTCGACTGAATCGCGCGCTCCAGAAAGTGCTGCAGCCAAGATGATTTCCCAGATGGAAAAAGCTTGACCTAAGCACAAGCCTTCCGGGGTTTCCGTCCGAACTCATAGACACCCTGCAAAGTGGTTCGTGCACATACTTCTCGAACGAACCAGCGCGGCGTTGAAGAATCCAATATTATTTTTGGCAAGTTTGCCATCTTGCTCTACTTCTCACCGTCTCTTCGGGCTTTCGATTTCGAAAAGTTTCAGTGTACGGGGTACATGTGTTAAGTAGCATGAAACTTTGGCTGGCATCGGAAGTATCTGAGAACAAAGTGAGCAACGTCGTTACTTTTGCTTCTTTTCCTAGCAGCCGAGTGCCTTGCTTAGCTTAGTTTGTGGCTTAAAACCGCTTGAGGCTGGAGCTCAGTGCAGCTGCTCTGTCTTTCCTGCACCTTCCATGGGAACAACAAGCTTGTGGCACTTAAGGCAAGCAACAGGATGACACCATGTCGCGTCTGATCGTGCAGCAGACAGAATTTCTTTTGGGTTTCTTCAATTCACACCTTTTGACTAAAAGATCATCGCGTTTCGTGATATTTGATCGTATGAACCGAGCAGAGACATGAGGCAAAGTGGATACTAGTTCACAAGTGTTGGTCGCAGCGCTTGTCCCTTGTCTTTGAAAGCGAGTGAAAAGTGGCGGCACAACTTAATTGCAACGAAGCATTTGTGGCTATGACCTTTATATGCTCCATCCGGGTCTGCTTCATCTGGGTGTTGGGCTTGATCCCAACCTGGCAGAAGGGACAGTGAAACGTGACGTGGTTAACAAACACAGTCATGGTTTGTCGAATAGGGTTGGTGTATCAAGGAGTGAGAAAGTTGGGAGAGAAGTTCGATGTCCAGATAAAAGCCTGGCGAGGAGGTGGAAGTGAGCAGAGCTACGGCCGTGAGTGCCCAACCAGATGGAGAGAAGCCATAGATGGCCCCTACGGAGGTGGCTTGACGACAAGCTATCTCGAGACCTCCCTGACGAACTGTCCATGTCCCGGCTCCAAAGGAAATTCAAGACCTGTGTGATGCCAAATATCTCCAGAGAGCTGGTTGCCCTCGAATATTGACAGTGGCATCTTCTCAACCAGGATCATGACTGTGCGATAATTGAATTGCCTGGACTTTTCGACGAGTGTGCACTCCATTAGTAGCAGTAGAACAGTCATCAAACAGAACGCAAGTTAAGCCCCATCGAGAAGTCCCTGACATGCAATGGTAAGTATGTGGCTTTTACATTCGCTCTTCGTAAACTCGTGTTCTTCTTTCGCTATATTTGGGTAAATGCAAGCAATTTTCTGCTTACTCCACGCGCCTACTGCTGCGCCGTAACTCGTAACATAGAAGTTGCCCCCCTTATTCGAAGTTACAAACAATGACGATAGTAAGGAAACTTTGAACATGCCCTCGTTACAGATATCGGAAGTTGTCAGGTTGCAACATGACTAGGAGTAACATCATCCCAAGGACACTTGAACATTTCCTTTGCCCAGGTTCCCTACTATTCTGGAGGCTCAAGTAACAACTAAAAGTGCTAGTAGTATTCTGATCAATCGTGAAAAGCCTTTGCTATTATTGCCACTCCTTCTATGGTCATCCCTTTCTTAGACCTTCTGGGTTAGAATTCGGAAAGAATAGTTGTAGCGAACTCAGATAATAAAGTCCATACATACTGATTATTACAATATCAGTCAAAACGTGGCCTAGACCACGGGAAGCAATCAATTGTTTCGTTTCTTAATAGAGTCTCTGCGTGAACTACAATTTTTTACGGTGTTCTTATTGTTAAACTTTCATTATTTGATTACATACCGTACGACCCGTATCTGGTCACTCATCATTTTGCCATTTAAGGAATACGTCAGGATGAAGGGCAAGGAGCTAGCCCAGCCTCGAAGATTGCTGTTGCACAGTTCCGGAGTTCCAGTCTATTCAGGATCGTGCGTTGAACTTGAACTTGAACTTTCTGACACAGAGGGCTACGGTAGATAATATATTTCTCATTAGCGTAAGACGCTCTTACTTTTCTCATCTCTCTAAACATCGGAACGAAATCACCTCCCAGTTCATGGCCCCTGAATTCTTCAGTCTATTCTAACAATACTCAGTCTCATTCTCAAAACCATAGCATACAATCACACCAGTCCTAGTGCATATAGCATGATTGCAAACCAGACTCAGAGTATGCTAACATCAACGTGGCAATTACTACAAGAAGCACGAATCGTGTCAAACAACCAAATCTCGGAATTTCTGTTCTCAGAGCTTTCGGTGGGTGATCAAAGCGTGTGTATCGGGCTCATAGCATCCACAACAAGCATGGCCACTCTCCAGCCTTCGTTCTCTTGGTAAATGCACATGAAGATACTCATTCGAAAAGTCATTTGCAACTGCGTGTGAGCTGTTACCGCCATACAAGTACTATTATGAAAACGTCAGCGTCAGAAGAAATCAGCCAGTGTCCATGAGAGTAGAAGCCAAGTTCTCTCTCATTAGCGCTAAAGTTTGACTTGTCAAATTCTCCACCGCTGTGAACTTATTGGTGATTTTGCCAAAAACGCGTCTGAGTCAATCTGCAGTTCAAATTCCCGGGTGCCGAATTCAGGAGCCTACGAAGTCAATAGAATAGAAATGTTGCCGAATTACTAACAGAGCAGCGTCTCTTCTGTCATGTACCAACCCAAATTTTCACGTCGAGTCGTGCCCTAATTTCTACAAACAGTACGGAATGTCCTGCTTTGCGAAGTAGCCTCCAGAGTCATGAATTCAGGGACGTTAGGCAATTTCTGAAGCTTCATGAATCATAGGCTGTTTCAAAGTGACCTACACCGCCAAGTGTCTTTTCCGCTCCAACTGGCCAAACTCTCCTTCCCCCCTTAACAGAATGTAACTAGAGGTTGGAAAAAGGGACACCGTGGAAGAAAAGTTGTCCGTCGTCAAGGTTCATGTCAACAGAATCCTGCTCATACCTAGCACACTGGCGAGCATCAGGGTCTTCTCACGGGCATCGCCGACTTGTCATATCTGATACAACCCCCCATTTGACGTCGTACTGCATCAGTGAATCCCTATACCACCTCAGGTTTCCTGAAATGAACTCTCAGGCCATAGTCATACCTCGACCTCCCAAAAGAGGCCAAGAATCAGCATAAGTGTACCTCTCGCGCTCCCGTAATATTCCGGCCTCTTCAGATCGCCAAGCGGGAAGAGTGGTTTGTATCCGCCGTGGATATCTAAATATGGTCCATCTCAGCTGGGGAACATTTGAGAAACCTTATTCCCCGCTACTACCTTCGATCCAGCGTGAGTACGATATCATAAGAATACTGCTAGATCACAATATCACCCATGACTCCGATCTAAGCCCCAAGACTCACATGTCTCACACTGGATTCAGCAAAACGGCAAAGCGACGAAACCATTGAAACGCTTCGAGGGGATTACTCTTCTAGGTTTACAAGCTCCCTAATAGCCTGATTATGGATGTATTGACTCTCCAGAGGATAATCCAAACCCCGGATAAGTCGTGTTTGAGAGCGTTTCTCCGACAAGCCCTACTACATGTAGGAATCAGGGGCGATGCGGAGGCAATTCCGACGCTTCAACTTCACAGCCGGTATATTCTGGACATACGTAGTCAGATTCAAGATTCGTCTCAACCTCGACAACTGTTCCTTTCAGCCAAGGCCGCTGTCGAACCTCCAGAAGCTGCTTGCATTTTTCAGACCTGCGGGATCATTTTTCTTTACGCTCATTCAAGCAATCTGTATTTCTCTCGGCTAGCATCTCAATCTCGTAAAAGATTTTCCAGTTCAGTCAGTTCAGCCCGAGATCAGATATGTGAAGAAAGCATGGACGTCGACGTATGAGTTGTTGAAGCCATAGAGCTATCTAGAAAGTTTGGATTGAAGGATGCCCGGGAATGTGTCTTTGTCTTTTCGAGGAGGGGCGTGAACATCATTGAGGTGTTGCATTTTACTTTGTACGACGAGCGAACTTGTGTTCAAGAACTTGTCGGGTATCAGTACTCTCTGGACCGGATCCAACGACGACTTTTGCAGTTCTGGCGCCCCAAATATCTTCATCGGGACTCCTGACCACCTCTCGCGTTGTAGTTCATGCATAAAGTATTGCCTCAGATTGCATTTGTCTACTACGTGGCTTCTGCTAGCCATCCGACTCAAGAGGAACGTCGAAATGTAGCAAGCAGAACATTCGGCAACCTGAGCCATTCTCATTTCATGGGCATACTAGACTTTTATGCCAAATTGGTTGGGAACAAAACATTGCGGACTTGTCATTAGCTAATCTATTTCCGAGCAAACCTTGGGTAACGAGCACATCAAAATCCGCCAAAATCACTGGCGGAAAAGATCTGTCATCTTAAGTCTTGGTCCCAGGGAATCCAAGCTTTTGACGATCCTGGACGTCTCGTGTAGATTTGGACTGGCATCATCCCTGTTGACAGGAACTCATGAATGGGAACTCGGACTTTGAAGGAAGCCCTGCACCGAGAGACTTTGTGCTTGTGCATACATACCTCCAATGAGAGGGTTGGTGAAGCTCTCACATATTATCTAGAGACGTTGCAATGTTACACGAGGGAGACTCAGCAGTTATCGTAACTCTGGTCGACCTCCGAGCTTATCGGGTTGTTATGTTGCGCTGAGACTCGAATAATCCCATTTTAAAAAATAAAAAGAATCAACATTGCCCTTCCATAATTGGGCCGCCTTTCTCCAAGCTGATCCCCGGAATCTTGTCCGTTCGTACACTAGAGTCACGGATCATACGGGGACGCATCGATGGGGACAACTTGGCGGCCTCGGCTGTGCCGCACAGTAGTTCCAGAAAAGGCAAGGTTTCCTTCGAAAGGGGTGAAGGTATGAGGTCCACGAATCATGGTTTGCGGCCAGCTCCCACTTTGGAACGCCCACGCAGGATGACTAAAGTCCGTGTCCGGGGTAATTGTCCGGAGATGACGGCCTCAGAAAGGGCCTGGCGTCTTGGGGACGGACCAGATGCGAAAGTTGAGGCTTGGACATCTCATAGCCCGGGAGAGAAGAGATCCCGTTATGACTCGCGCCTCTCACTCATCAAAGAGCGTTTGAGTCGCTGCCGAGCCTCGACACCGTTAAACCGCTCGGCTGGTAACGCGCGCGAAACTCTCTTGATCCATAAGCAGCCAATCCGGTACCAAAGCATCAATTAAGGTTTCGTGTCACCTGGGGCGAGCCTCATTTAGCCGTGGGCAGAAAAGAAAGTCTAAACCTACGTGGATCCCATGGAAAGTAACTCTTGGCGACTTAGCAAGAGCAGGCTCCTGGGTAACTTGTTGCAGAGCGGCGAGAGCGGTGAATTCAACAATTATTGTTGCAGGAGTGCACAAACCAGTCTGTCCAATCATCCTGTACACGCTACCCTAGACTTACGGCTCAATGCAACCAAAGCTTTGATCACAATTTGTCTGTATCGCACAAGTTCACAAGATCTTGATTGGCTCATACATTTCTTGGTTAAGTTGTCAATTCATTCTGATGGACTTCAGACTTGGCAATCGTCTCTTTAATTACTTGAAGAGGGGCCTTACTTATTGCAACTGTTTTTGCTAATCTTCAGGACCGGTTCAGAAGGACAACGAAGCCCTAGTTACTGAAGCTAGCTGCCGGTGGGCTTCTTGGCATCTATCGAAGATACAGGCCATCGTGGAGATGCCCAATTGCAAAATTGCCAGGGACATTGCGAAATCTGATCTTCTTGACTCGACAACTCCTCCTGGTTACTCAGTGGGCCTTCTGGAGACCTCGACACGGGTTCCACCTCTATTCCGCCGAAGACATTGTGCCCCGACCCATGAAGATGCCAAGCATCGTTGATAGCTTCCTGTGCGTCTGCGGGAGAAACCAGCTAAAACGGAAAATCGATGCCGACCTGGCATGGCTTGATACCTCCTGAGGTCTGAAGCACCGCCCCTCTGTTGCTAAATGGGATAGATTTAAGTTCAAGTATATGATATGAACGAGACCTCGTCAATACCGAAGGAAACTTAAACTTGTTTTTGTAGTCTTTGAGACAATGAAAACGTGCCTCCGGCATGTGAATTGCAACCCAATGCCGTTTGGCAGAAGCTATGATGAGGCCCAGGGAGCGAAGTACCAGGTATAAAGAGAGCAGAAGTAAGCTGTCAAGATCGAGAACTTCAAGTCTTTCACAACTCCTCTTCCAGTATATTGTCTTTCACCAGATTTTCTTGGAAATAATTTGTATTTGGAGCTCCATTACAAATATGTCAGCCATCACGAAGTCTTTGAGCGCACTCGCTCGCCGCGGCGCACGAAAGTCAGCCCTTGGCCACCACCGTCGTGACTTGGCAACCGTCACAGACCACAACCTCGCGCGGATGGCTGCCACAATGCCTCCGGGGCACAGAGCCACGGTAGCACAGCTTGAGACATTCACACTTCCTGAGCGTGTCACAGGTAGCCCTGGAGATCGCGCCATGGGAAAAGCTTTAGTTGATGCCTGGCGCCGAGATGGTATCCTCCAAGTCTCTATGAACGACAAGCAGCAGCATATCTTCAACGAAGCCACAGCCTCAAGCAAGGCATTCTTTGCTAAACCCCATGACGAAAAGGCTGCTTGTGTTGACTCTCAGAGCTACTCGGGTTACATCGCCTCCGGCGAGGAAATTACCGATGGCATCGCTGACTACTCCGAGATCTTCACTGTCACTAAAGACTTGGATCTTGCTGAACCCCGCGTTCGCGCAAAGTGGCCCTGCCACGGCCCGGCCCCGTGGCCCGACTACGAAATGAAACAGCCTATGACTACATACATGGACTACCTTGGAGAAAGTGGAGAGAAGTTGCTCCAGCTTGCTGAGTTGGGCTTGAATGTCCCCGCTGGCTCCCTCACAAATCTGACTCAGGACGGATGGCATCACATGCGTATTCTCAGGTAAGTCACAGTCACAGTCGCAGTAGCAGTCAAGTCTTCTCAGGCGCATATCAACTAACACCTATTCTACTAGATTTCCTCCCACCCATAACACAAACGGCAAGGGCAAGGCTGGACGTGGTATTGGCTCTCACACGGACTATGGCCTGTTGGTTATTGCTGCTCAAGATGATGTTGGCGGTAAGTCGAGATCATGAGCGAGTCAGACTTAGCGGAAACTAACACATAGATACAGGCCTCTTCATCCGTCCCCCCTATGACGGTGAGCACTACGCAAACTGGGAAAAGAGCTCAGCTGGAATGGCGGAGGAGGACGACCGCTGGCACTACGTACCCCCTGTTCCCAACGTCTTCACAGTCTTCCCCGGTGATATCATGCAGTACATCACCAACTCCTACCTGCCCTCTACTCCCCATAAGGTCGGCTTGAACACCCGCGATCGTTTCGCCTTCGCCTACTTTCATGAGCCCAGCTTTCAGGCCGTTGCCAAACCTCTGCCAGGATACGATGTCGGCCAGTCTCCCGAGGAGGGGATTCACTACGGCAGTCACTTTACCAACATGTTCCTGAGGAATTACCCTGAGAGAATCACCACTAAGAGAATGCATGCGGAGAATCGTCTTGCCCTCCTCGAGAAGGAGGAGCTCCGAGCCCATTCTTCTCAATCAAATAAGTCGGGCAGAGTTATTACAAATGTCGTACAGCAGACTCAACAGGCTTCTTTGTAAGCTAACGATACTCAATAAGCAAGCGACACAAAATTGTCTTGGATTCACTGGCCTGACGGCATAAGAAGAAAGCGATGGGGGGAAGTCAAATTGATCAGGACTCCTTCAAGCAGAATTTCATTAGATCATTAGACAAAACTTCTGGTAACAGACAACAAAAAGTTTGGCAACAATTCTACGGTTTGAATTAATCTCGAAATCATGTTCTAGCGTTATCCCTTTGTGTCAGTTGTCAATCGTAGTCGTGCTGAATACCCGCCTCTGGACTCAAAATAGCCCGGGCTTCAGCGCATTGCCACTTCAATTATGCAAGTACCGACTACCTATATCATGTTCTGCGGAGTGGGTTTCGATGATAAGCTCTCTGTTGCCCTGTTCGAAATTCTGCTCCAACTAGGACAGATACAAGCTTGGAAGGCAAATTTAGGTTGGAAGTCACATATGACAGTATCTCGTGGCATGCTTTTAAGGGACCAATCAGGCATCCTCATCCGAACCTCGCTCTCCACAACAACTCAAAAGCCCGCCCACACCACCATACTTAAACTTCTCGTCTCTCACCATCTTCAACACTACGATCGAGCAATCTGACATGGCGTCAACAGCAATTCGATTTGTGTCAGGTACCAAGAAATCCCCCTTAGGTACCCTATATTTACAGTGCCATGTAAAACCTGGCGCTTCCCGAGTTCGTGAGGGGGTCACCGCCGTCACAGATGCGACCGTAGAGCTGTGCGTTTCAGCGCAGGCGAAGGAAGGCGAAGCAAATAAAGCTGCTGTTAAATTGCTCAGTGGGGTATGTATCCTAGTCTAGTTTATTTTCCGCTCTGTAGCATTTCCGAACTCAGCGGCAGGAGCCCATCATTTGCGGTTTTCCTTAGTTACTGGTTGCTAACTCAAGTACAGGTTTTGGGCATCCCCAAATCAGACCTCACAATCACCCAAGGGCTCAAGTCAAGAGAAAAAACTGTCGCAGTAGGCAACATTCAAGACGGAGAGTCGAGTATGGCTAAGATAAGGGAGCAGCTCGAGAAGGCCGTGGAAGATGGTTGATGAGGGTACATAGAATGGCGTTGAAATAATTGTGACAGCGGGCCGTTTGTCCCACAGAGAGAGGCATCAAAGTCATCTGTAAAACATGCTTCAGTGCGGCTAGAAGAATGAGTTATACAATTTCTGGTTCAATATTGCTTAATGAAAGACAGGGCAAGATTCGTTGTTCAGCCAGCTGCTGCGCCGTGTCCTCTTTCCATCTATACATGTTCCAGCGTAGCTTACGACCGATCGACGTTGTAAGTCTCTGTCACGAGTATGCCGCCAAGTCTGGGTTCTTGTTCGCCATACCTGTTACAGTCACGTCCCTCAGTCTGCCTGACTTGGCTTTTCCGGAACTCCTCCCCCAAAATCTCTTCATCCGAAGTGTTATCCATCGGTATGTCTCCCCTGCTGACTTGTGTGCGAGTGGAAGATCCTTTGATACCAAGCACAGCATCCTTGAAGCTTAGATCATCAGTGTCCGACTTGTTGGTGGTATCTGTCTTGCTCTGAGGCAGTGGGCGACCGCCTCCGCCGACCATTCCACCGCCAATCGTGCGGAGAGGGACCGAAGAGGATCGTTCTTCATTCTGTTTTTGGTACCCCGAGCTGGCGTTCTCGGACGTGAATCGATGAAAGAGACGCTTGTAAAGCGGCCGGCAAACGGGGATGCCGACACAGATCTGCGACGGTCAGTTTCTGTAAGGTAATTGGAGTCTCGGGTCTTGCTTTGTAGGAATTACCATTGTAATAGCCATCTCAGCAGCTGACCAAACAATCAAACCCACACTGTCTCCTGTTGAGGATGGGTCAGTATTCGTTACAGTTGTTGAGTTCAGGTGTTTGAGGTGGATGTACTCAGGTAGTTCTCCGTATAGAGGCCCTCTACTTCGACAGTACGCTTGATACCTGCTGCTGCAGCACTATTCGATCGAAAAGTTAGCCATATGAATCCCTGAGCGGTGCAGAGAGAAGCGGCTGGTCAACGCACAAAAGTCCGAAGCTCATACTCGCCGCGATAGTGATCTTGTCGCGTTTTGGCATCTGTAGCTTCCAGATAAACACCCAAGGAAATATAGCGA